TTCCCAACGTGTCAATCTCCTCATGCTACCATGGGAACGGGGAAGGACCGCCCTCTCAACCTGGACTACTCCACAGAAGCGCCTCCCAGCAGGTGGAACCCCTGCACCCCTTGAGCAGCAACAGGTCCTCCCAGACCTTCAGGAAAGGATACCATGAAACAGACTTCTTGAATGATGGCTCTGTTCTTCTCCTCTTCGTTGGACAACAGCCTCTGTTATCAGGAAACCACACACAGTGAAAAGACCAAACACTGTTTATTCTGCAGGCTACATGAAGCCCAGCTCAGGCAGAAACACCCGAGACGGCAGACACGGTGCCCGTGAGCGTGAAAACCTGCAAAGCTGCATTTTAACATCTGAGCTGTGTGAAAACCTGACAGAAGGTTAACAAAACGAAAATAAACAAACAAAAATCCCGCTGCCACTGAGTCGATTCCGACTCATAGTTACCCTTAAAATAGGCCCTCTGGATCCAAGGACACAAGACAGACTCAGAGTAGCCTTTTCTGCGCGGAGACCAAGACAAACAAGGGCCATGAGTGCACACGTGGAGAGGGATGGGGCTCCACTCCGGATCCCCAAAATACACAAAGGGCCACTCGCCAGGACCAGTCCCCTCACCCCTGGTCAGGGAACCCTGCACAACATGTCTGAGGTCTCTCTGCCTACAGCGAGCTGGGCCCCCTCTACCATATCTCAGAACCCAGCCCCAGCACCCCAGGGTGGGCTCAATACCCCCACCATGACCCTATTTATAGATACTCTGTGCCATGCATGTTTTACACAAGTGGCTTTTAAACTCCTTGTAGTCAAGGAACCTTTCTTTCTCTGACACACAGAAACTTACAGAGGGCGGAAAGGCAGACACACCCCAGTGGGAGGGGGCTGCTCCCTGGAAAGGGCCACTCCACTGCCACTGCCCCACTCCCAGGGCCTGGCAGACGTGTCCCTGGGCAGCCTTGACCCCAAAGCTGGAAACTAGGGTGTCACAGTGGTCTCCGTGAGCACTGCGTGTAAGCCCACTGCTTCAGGACTCCAAGAAACAAATGCTACCTCCAAAGGACACAGCAAGTGAGCAAGAAACAGAAATAAAAGAAGAACACAGTTCTGAAACCATGGGCCTTCAGAGTTCCTTCAAAACAAACCAAACACCCACGTGGAAGTGTTAAATCAGTCCTCATTACCTTTAAAGCATAGTCTTTACCGCTCCCAAGATCCTGAGCTTCGTACACAAATGCAAACCCTCCTGAAAAACAAACACACACGGATCAATGCTGCGCTGAGGTTATGGAACATATTAAACTGAAAACGGGCTTTCGTGACATGGACCCCAAGGGCTTCTGCAGCTGCGGCCAAGGTCTGTGCTCGGCACCCACGGCCCAGTTCACGTGACACTGCTCGTCACGTGACACTGCTCCTCAAGCTCAGGCTCAGAGACAGGAAGGAAGGAAACCTAAGAACAGAGTCAGTGAAAGACGGGGAAGAAAGGGGAATACCAACAAAAGCAACGCCAGTTCTCTGAACACGAGTTAATGACACTGACTGATGCTCACTGGATTCATTAAGAGATTCAGAGAAAAACAACAAATGAGCAGTAATTGGAATGAAAAAGGGAACCAAAACCAAACTCACTGCCGTCAAGTTGATTCCAACTCACAGCAACCCCCATTGCGTTTCCAATCTTTAGGGAAGTCAGCTGCCTCATCTTCCTCCGGCAAAGCAGGCAGTGCGTTTGAACCACAGACCTTCATCTGGTTAGCAGCCAAATGCCTTACCCACCATACCACCAGAGAGAGCTCTGTGAAAAAGGGGCCATCACTACCCTAATGCTCGAAAGAGAAAAAGGCAATACGAGAAGACTTACGTAGGAATCAACTTCTCGGCAACTAACACCACAAATTACTATCCATCGTGGTGAGTTCAAACCTCCCACCTTTCTGCTAGCAGCCAAACACTTAGCCACTGCACCACGATGACTTCTTGGAGAGGAATTTACCCACAAAAAATTAAGGCACATATGCACACAAAGACTTACACATGTCCACAATGGCTTTATTCATAATCACCCAAAACTGGAAACAACTCAAGTGTCCATCAACAGGTAAATGAGCAAACTGCTCTCCACTCACAGAATGAACACACTCAGCAATGAAAAGACTGTGTTACATGCAACATGGTGACTCTCAAAATCATCGTGCTGAGTGAAAAAACCAAGATCAAACCCACTGCCACGAGTCAGTTCTGAATCACAGCGCCCCTAGAAGACAGAGTAGAACTGCCCCATAGCGTTTCCAAGGCTGTCAATCTTTATGGAAGGAAAACCCAAATCGAGTCGATTTTGACTCACAGCAGCCCTGTAAGATGGAACAGAATCGCCCCAGAGGGTTTCCAAGATTGTAAATCTGTACAAAAGCAGACTGCCTCATCTTTCTCCCATGGAGCGGCTGGTGGGTTCAAACTACCAACCTTTTTAGCTAGCAACCAAATGCTTTAACCACTGTACCACCAGAGTCAGGCAAAAAAAAGACTATTACATACATATTATTTCACTTAGAAAATAACTCTAGAAAATCTATAAATCTGTAGTTACAGAACACAGATCGGAGTTGCCTGGAAGCAGGTAGGAGAAACAGGAAGAAAGAAGTATAAAATGGTACAAGAAAATTTTGAAGATGATGGATATGTTTATGACCTTGATTTTAGTGATAGTTACAGGGGTATAAACACATGTCAAAACACTTCAGATATGTGCAGTTTGTGTTGTAACTGTGGTGGTTAAGTTTGTGTGTCAGCTTGGCTGGGCCTGGCTGAGCGGCAGGGCAGCTGGTGGTCGTTACTCCCCACGGTGGGACCTACCACAGGCAGCTGAGTCTTCTTGAAGCAAACAATAGCTTAGCTGACCCAGTCAAGAATGCCTGCCTTGGGCACTGGGCTCTTTTACAGACCTGTCTACGGGGGTCAAACTGACCCCAGCAACGCAGAAAGGTTCCACAGGACGCTCAGGGAGCAGTGAGCTTCTGCTAACGGGGAGAACGGCTGCGCAACCGGAAGGATGTCCTCAGAGCCACTGAACTCTACACGCAGACGCTGCGGGCTCGTGTGCGTTCCGCTGGTCTATTTTCAACAGTAACAAAAATAAGCGGTAAAAAAAAAAGTACATAAAATTAAAAAAAAAAAAAAAAGCCAATCCTAAAAGATGACATACAACATGGTTCCATTGAAAGAAACTCTCCTGAGATGACAAAGTTATAAAAGTAGAGACCGTATTTGTGGTTGCCACAGTTTAAGGAACTGGCAGTGGCTATACTAGGAGCTCTGGTGGCACAGTGGTTACAGCATTCGGCTGCTAACCAAAAGGTCAGTGGTTTGAACACACCAGGCTGAGTGTTTCCATCAAGATTTACAGCCTTGGAAACCCTACAGGCCAGCACAGTAGCTCTCAGGAAAAGGAAGACACGGAGAGGTGCACAAGAGTACAGACAGCAAAGTCGAATCACTGCACACACAATGTTGCATCATCAGTAACACCAACCGCTAATCTACAGGTAGATACATAGGCAGACAAGTATGGATAGGCCAGTGGGAATACACTCACAACCATGCACACGTTTGACAGACGATGTGTATACAGCACAGACAGCATATCTATGCATTTGTGCTACAAAAACCGTGCATGTGCAGTTTAAAGCTAACAGGAGGCAAAGTTAGGATCACCTCTTAGCCACAAACAAGCACCCTGAGGGACTGGGTCGCTGGGCCTGCAGGCTGGGAACCATGGTTGCAGCACAACATGGTATACAAAATACTGTTCTACATCTTTCTTCGGTGTGTAGCAAACAGGGTTTTCAAAGCTGTGAGCAGCCACCTAAGGGGCAACTATTGGTCTCTGTGTGTCCACAGCAAAGAAGAGTGAAGAACACAGAAACATCCAAAGGACTAACGGACCGTGGGAATCTCAGTCTATATGACCCTGAGACCAGAGGAACTAGATGGTACCCAGCTACCAACGCCAACCACTAGGAAAGGCATCAAACTTGGAGATCCTGTACAGAGTGGGAGAAAAATGTGAAGCAAAATTCAAAATCATAAAAAAGACCAGGCTTAAATGAGGAAGAGGAAGACATAGAGAGGTACATAGGAGGTACAGACAACAAAGATGAGCCCTTTTGCATGTATCGTACTGCATTGTCAGTGAAGGCAAAAACTGATCTATCTACAGGTGGACAGATGGGTGGACAGGCTGAACGATCAGGTATGCCTATGTGGGGGGGTGCATACCATGTTTATACATGTGTATCTGTATGAGCTATAAGAATTTCCAGGTGTACACTAGAGCAGAGGGAGCTCTGGTAGCATAGCGCCTAAGGCACTTGACTGCTAATCGAAGGCTGGCGGTGCAAACCCACCAGCCACTCCTTGGAAGGAAGATGGGGCAATCTACTTCCATAGTGATACTGCCTCGGAAACCCAAGGAAGGGTCACTATGAGTCAAGTCCGACTCGACGGCACATAACAACAACAGTAGAGCAGACAAGGGGCAAAGTTGTGGTGGCTTCTTGGCCATGGCCAGTTACCCAGAGGCAGCAAGTTTGGACCTACGGCCTTGGATGTTGGATGCTGGATGTTGCAAGGGGACATCAAGCTCAACTGGCATAACATACTACACAAAAACATTGTTCTACATTCTACTTTGCTGAGTAGGGACTGGGATCTTGCCAAAGGGGCAGGGAGGCCGCATCGCCTGACCTCCTCTAACCCCACAAGAAGACAGAATCACCATCAATAGCCCAAGGCCTATTCCTGTGAGGCCAAACATGCTGCCTCCCTTCAGCAGTTTCATCAACCCTGACACCAACTGTTCCTCCTGCAGCATCCACCACCTTTCTACTCAGGGTTCGATAATTTGCTGCCGTGGCCACACAGAACTCAGATTATGGGGTTTATTAGGGAAGCACCAGGCTACAATTCAAGTTCAGAAACAACGCTCAGTCTCTCTCAGGCCACCGTCTCTCAGCCCACAGTCTCTCTCAGTCTCTCTCCCAGCAGTACGTGTCTCTCAGTCTCTCTCCCAGCAGTGCGTGTCTCTCTCAGTCTCTCTCCCAGCAGTGCGTGTCTCTCGGTGTCTCTCTTTTAGCAATGTGCGTGTCTCTCGGTGTCTCTTTCTCAGCAGCACGTGGCTCTCAGGAGCGCATGGCTCTCAGCAGCACGTCCTTCTCCACCAGCAGTCAGAGAAACTTCTTCTGTCTCTAGGAGGTCTCCTTTTGAGCCCGGCAGAGTGGCCAAACTAACCAATCATAACATCAGAATTCTAAGCACCTGAGAGACAGCGCGAACTTCCCAGAACACTGCTTTGTGCCACTCTCAACAGAGATACCCCAGGTGGATAACTTTAACAATCAAGAGCTCCTCAGTTGTTCAGGGCAAATTCCACCGTGGAGTTTAAAAAGACCTACGGCTAGAAAAGCCATACCAGGTAATTTACTATACCGCAGATCTTAAAGCTTACAAGCAGCCATCTAGATCAACGATGGGTCTCTCTTTATCCAGAGCAAAGAAGAACAAAGAAAACCAATGACACAAGGAAACAATTAGTCCAAGGGACTGGTAGACCATGCAATCCTCATCCTATAGGACTATGAGACCAGAAGAACTAGATGGTGCCCGGCTACCGCTATCAACCACTTGGAGGGAGAGCAGTGCAGGAGACCCTGGATAGAGTGGGAGAACAATGTGGATCAAAACTCAAAATCATAAAAAGATCACGTTTGCTGGTGTCTGACGGAGCCCAGTGAGACCCCTGAGACTATGGCCCCTGGTTACCCTTCAGATCTAGAACTGAACTCATTCCTGTGGCTTCCAGCCAAACAACAGACAGGCATATGGGATGAACATTTACATTAGGTAGACACACTCCTTGGAACCATCAATCATGGGAGAACAGGACAGTGTTTGCACAGAGATGGGGGGGGGTAGGAGCGCATAGGAGGGAAGGACACAGGGAAGAAGTGGGAAGAGAGCTGTTACACTGTGGGGAATTGCAGTCATTTTCATGAAACAAAATGTGAATGGACTGTTGTATGGCTAATGAGCTTGCTCTGTAAACTTTCACCCAAATCACAATAAAAATTAAAAAAAGAAAAAGACCAGGCTTACTGTCTGGTAAGAGACTTGTGAAACTCCCAAGACTATGGCAATGAGTCACCCTTTGTGCCATGAACTGAACTTATTCCCCACAGGCAGGCCTAC